GGGCCTTTCAGAATGTGCTTGTCCGCCAGGAGGCAGACTCTGAGGTATTTGTCCACGTTGTTTTCTAGGACCTTGGAGTAGCTGTGTCTCCTTTGAGCTGAGCTGGGGGGACGCACGTCTGAGACTAGCTCTCCGTTCTTGACTACAAGGCTGGGCATCTCAGGATTTTGGTTTGCTGTGCATGGGGCAAGACCAAACCTGCTTTGGTTACAGACCCAGATGCTGTGCTGGTGAGGAATACAGCTGTGGGGAAGGACTGATGTGAGAAAAACAGCTAAAAGCTCATAATAAGAACTCAGGAAGTTGAATGTCGGTGGTGAAAATAGCTGCTCAAATTCCATCCAAGGCCCAAGATTCTTTCATTTGTCGTTCCACTGCGTGTGGCTTTTGTCCTCAGTTGTCTCTCGGTTGCAAAATGGCTGCTATACCTCCAAGCATTGCATCTGAGTTCTGGGGAGAGAAAGGAGCAGTGTCTCCTATTAAGAAAGCCAAGACTTTCCCCAAACCTCTAGCAGATTTGGTCGTCAGAACCGGGCCACGTGGCTACCACAGCTGCACCCATTTTAGAGGCCAAAGTGTTGAGGAGGACACATACTGAGTCACCCGCCCCAAACAGAGTCTGCCACAGGTAACCACTGCTACCAGCTCGGTGTTGCCCTGAAGTGCTGGCCAGTGTGGGTTTTAAGAAGAAATGAAATAAAAGGCTACCTATACAAAAAGGAGAGGCAAACTTTTTATTTCCAAGTAATGACTTCACCTAGAAAAAAACAGGATAAACCAATAAACCATTAGAGACTTTCTGGAATGACCCAGCAAATCTGCTCGGTGTGAAATAGACAAAAGGATAACCGCAGGCAAGAGTTGCCCTCTGTATCTTATCACGTGGCTGATTTACAAACCCCGCAAAATTAAACTGAACTCAACAATTCATATATGAACACATCTGAAGGCAATGACAAACTCTTTCTCCTTTTGCATTTTTATTTACATTTATTTTTGGCTGCGCTGGGTCTTGGTTACTATGCTCGGGCTTCCTCTAGTTGCTGCAGTTGCGGCGTGCGGGCTTCTCACTGCCGTGGCTAGAGATGTAACAGCAGACTGTAGGCACACAGGCTGCAGGAGCTGCCGCTCACAGACTCTGCTGTCCTGCAGTAAGTGGGGTCTCCCCAGGCCAGGGACCGAGCCTGCGCCCCCCGCATTTGCAGGTGCATTCTTCATCACTGGACCACCAGGGAAGCCCTATAAGCCTTTTCTGATGGTTAGAGGCAGACTTGAATGAACAGTCATCTTCCATGTGCTTTGATGTGAAGACAAAATCTCACATAGAATTATGTTAATTCTTTCCAAACTGGCCAGTTATAATCAAAACCCCAAGGAGATCTGCAGGGGCATGAGAAGGCCAAGTTCTGAGAAAATGATTCCTGCCTGGCTCACTTATAAAAATAAAAAAAAAATTTTTTTTTAAACCTCCTAAAAATGTGACCCCAGTCCTACTGTCTATGAATTACAGAGCAGCAGTAATGGAGAAGACAGGCAGGTCTGTGGAACCGTGAGGGATGAAGTTCAAGAAAGGTGTGGAACCTCAGATACTTATATCCCAGATGGGTGGATTTAAGAGTAAATATAAAATACAACCAATAAAGGATGTAAGGAAGGGCCTCTTTGAGCCAAGGAAAACGATAAAGGAAAGAAAAATTGAATAGACCCGACTACACAGTAATCAAAAACCTCTGTACACTGAAAATGCAGTAACAAAGAAAATGTTCATGCTAGGGCAGGATGTGTGTACATATTGTATGTGTGTGTGTGTGTTGCATATACATATATATGTGTATATATTGATATGTATGTGTGTATATTGCATATAGGTACATATATTTTAAAGGTATCTTGCTTTCATATTATTTTTAATAAAAACATTTTCTTGACTGCTCTGCGTCTTCGTCGCCATGTGAGGTCTTTCTCTAGCTGCCATGAGTGGGGGCTGCCCTCCCGTTGTGGAGCATGGCTTCTCGTTGCAATGGCTTCCCTTGCTGCGGAGCACTGGCTCCAGGGTGCGTGGCTTCAGAAGTGGCACACGGGCTGCTTCCCCGCGGCGTGTGGAATCCTCGTGGACCAGGGATGAACCGGCGTCCCCTGCATTGCATGGTGATTCTTCACCACTGGACACCATATATATATGTGTGTGTGTGTATTACATGTTTATATATTGCATGTATTTGTGTACATCTAAAAATGGAATAGTGGACAAAAGAGAAAACTAAATTGTCAAAAAGCAGGAACAAATAACCATTCTATTTCTAATTATTTATTTGGCTGCCTTGGGTCTTTTTTTTATCTCCAGTGGTGGTGCATAGGCTCCAGAGTTCACGGGCTCAGCAGCTGTGGCCCTTGGGCAACTAATTTCTCTGCAGCGTGTGGGCTCTTAGTTCCCAGACTGGGGAGCAAACCCATGTCCCCTGCACCGAAACGTGGATTCCTGACCACTGGACCACCAGGGAGGCCCCACAAGTAGCATTCTTAATGTAACAAAATGCAAATATAAAGTGAGTGGCTGGGATTTTCCTGGCGGTCCAGTGGTTAGGACTTGACGTTTTTCACTGCCATGGCCCAGGTTCAATCTCTGGCACAGGAATGGAGATTCTTCAAGCCACGCGGAATGTCCAAAAAAAACCCAAACAAACAAAAACCTGAGTGATGACGCCAGTGTTGGTGACGGTGCAGAGGAACACTCTCGGGGCCTGTGTGACTGTGAGCAGGAGCGCTGTGGGTTCAACCAGCAACAGCTTTGAACCTTCACGGCCTCTCGTCTGTTCATGTCCCAGAAGTATTGACGGTTCAGGTAACCGTGCCGGCCGACACTAAGGGAGAGGAAAGTCACGGTCCAGCTGCAAGACAGAGAACTGACGAGGCCACCAACACGGTCTTTGAGAAATCTCTTGTAATGTGGAAAATGCTCATCATGAAATGTTAAGTGGAAAAGGATAAAGATAACACACAGAGCATGGATGCAGTTTTGAGAAAAAAGCATGTGGGAACCTCCCTGGTGAGCCAGGGGTTAAGACTCTGAGCTTTCCATGCAGAGGGCAAGGGCTCGATCCCTGACTGGGGAGTCGAGAGCCCATGGGCTGCGTGGCATGGCCGGGAGAGGGAGAACACGTGTGTAGTTCAACTGTATCCTGATGGAGCTTTTTCTGTAGACGGACATGGCTGTGGTCACCTCACAGAGTAACCACGTGGTTCTGTTTATTCAGAGGCAGTGTTAGATCTACGGGGAGAAAATAGCAAACCGAGTTGCTAATAAGCTATGAAAACCTAACAGACTTTTCTTCTGGCTGCACTTGTGACCTGTGGGACCTCAGTTCCCTGACCAGGGGCCGGTCCGGTGCCCCTGGCAGTGGAAGTCTGCAGTGTCAACCCTGGACCCCCAGGAGCGTCCCCAAACTGCTTTTGACCTCACGTATTAGCATATACTAGCGGTTCTCGGCTGTGGCAGCTTAGGAGTGACCATGGTTTGCACTTAACGTACGTTTGTTGCTAAGTCATGTCAGACTCTTCATGACCCCACGGACTGTAGCCCACCAGGCTCCTCTATCTGTGGGATTTCCCAGGCAAGGATACTGGAGTGGATAGCCATTGCCTTTAGCCCGGGATCTTCCTGACCCAGGGATCAAACCCTCGTCTCCTGCATTGGCAGGCAGATTCTTTATCACTGAGCCGCCAGAGAAGCCCTAAAACATGTTCAGAGGATGTCTGAAATCCAGAGCCAGGCAGAGCCTTCTCAGCTGACCCCAAGTACGGTCTGCCAGTACACTGCTTGAGGACACTGGATCCCAGTGATTACAGGTGGGGGTTTTTTGAAGTGTCCATATTCCATTGGAGATCAAAGAAGTCCAACTAAAAGAATCGTGGATTGACTCTCACAACTGTGGACTGAGCTGAAATTCTTTCTGGAAGGGCTATTTTGAAGATTATGACTCAAACACTGGGGAAGGTAAGGTGATTGGCAGTAGAATGAGTCAGAACACGTATAATTTCTTAAAAATTTATTGACTTAAATAATTTTGCTTATAATAAAGCCCTTTACACTTAAAAAAGTGTATACATGCAGAGAAAAAACAGGAGTAAATGCATCTCCAGGCCATGACTGTGAACTGAGGATTGTTTTAATTCTTGTACCTCTGATTTCCCCCCCAATTTCTTCAATATACACGTATTATGTGTATGATGAGAAAACAAAGTTTGTATGTAAATAAAAGAACATTGAGACATCGGTGGAAGGAGGGCCAAAGGGTATTTCCAATGGTTTTCTTGAAGAAAGAACAGTAATAAAAACATGTTCCATTTCAAAATTTTTAAAGAGCTGGGAATACCAGACCACCTTACCTGCCTCCTGAGACACCTGTATGCAGGTCAAGAAGCAACAGTTAGAACCAGACAACAGACTGATTCCAAATTGGGAAAGGAGTATGTCAAGGCTGTATATTGGCACCTTGCTTCTTTAACTTCCAGGCAGAGTACATCATGCGAAATGCCAGCCTTGATGAACACAAGTTGGAATCAAGATTGCCGGGAGAAATATCAGTCATCTCAGATGTGCAGACGACACCACCCTTATGGCAGAAAGTGAAGAAGAACTAAAGAGCCTCTTGATGAAGGTGAACAAGGAGAGTGAAAAAGCTGACTCAAAACAACATTAAAAAAACTAGATCATATCATCTGGTCCCATCAATTCAAAGCAAATAGATGGAGGAAAAATGGAAACAGTGACAGACTTTATTCTCTTGGGCTCCAAAATCACTGCAGATGGTGAATGCAGCCATGAAATTAAGACACTTGCTTCTTGGAAGAAAAGCTGACAAACATCAACAGTATATTAAGAAACAAAGATGTTACTTTGCCGGCAAAGGTCCACATAGTCAAAGTTACGGGTTTTTCCAGTAGTCATGTATGGATGTGAGAATTGGACCTTAAGGCTGAATGCCAAAGAATTGATGTTTTCAAACTGTGGTATTGGAGAAGACTCTTGAGTCCCTTGGACTGCTAGACCACCAATCAATCCCCAAAGAAATCAATACTGAATATTCATTGGAAGGACTGATGCTGAAGTTCCAATACTTTGGCCACATGATGCAAAGAACTGACTCATTGGAAAAGACCCTGATGATGGCAAAGATTGAGGGTGGGAGGAGAAGGGGATGACAGAGGATGAGATGGTTGGATGGCGTCACCAACTCAATGGACATGAGTTTGAGCAAGCTCTGGGAGATGGTGAAGGACAGGGAAACCTGGCGTGCTGCAGTCCATGGGGTTGCAAAGTCAGACACCACTGAGCAACTGAACATTATCAAAAGGTGTCACTCGAAGTGGTAAGGTGCTGACGTCAGCTGATGGCGGCCCTAGCAGCCCGCCAGGCAGGCAGCAGCAGTGTGTGTATATGCTGGGGGGGTGGGGGGTAATTTGTATGTAAATTTCTTTTAAACTAAGAGAAGTATGGTAACAATCAAAGCTAAATTCTATTTGTTTTTTGCCAATGAAGTTGTCAGAGCTTCCCTGTTTCTCGCAGGGAAGGGCTTGCAGCCAGCTCCAGGGACGCGGAAGGGCCCAGAAGCCAGGTCGGCGGGACCAGCCCGAGCCTCCAGGACCGGGTGGTGCCCAACCGCTGTCACCAGCTCTCCTCACACTCAGACAGTGTCACTTTTGTTCTCACACAACTAAAACCACACTGGAATGATGTAGTACATAGTTCATTTCCCTTATCTCAAAACTGTCACTTTTAGTAATCTACCGTAGGACAATGTTAAAGAAGAATGCAAAAAGATGGTGTATGAAGAATGGTTTATAATAGTGACAGCTTGGAAATAACTTCGCATCCAACGGAAAAGCAGCTAACAGAACAGCCCGCCCTACCCAGAACCTCAGCTCCAAAGACAGCAGGGCTCTGCTGGAGAAAGGCTGGTCATGCGGGGAGGACGCTGGGGGACCAAAACGACAGACAGTGCACACCGTGTTTACAGAAACGTGAAGACGCACCATCACAAAGCAGAAGGTGACATACCAAAGTGTGAAATGCAGTTTTAGTAAGAATTGTGGGTGTCTCTTCCCTTAATTCCCTGTTTTCTGAAATGTGGTTATTCAGCCTCCAAACATACTTTAATAAATGTGTGTTATAGACTCCAGCGCTCCGTACAGATGTGGGCAGGCAGCTGGTCTCTGCTCTAAAATGTGAGTGGGATGACCGAGTCATAACCAAGCCCCAGAGGGACGCCATCCTTCTCCCTCTCCGGGACCACCAGGCATATCGCCTCTCGGAGGCTGAGCACCGTGGGGCCTTGCCAGCCCGGGGTACGAAGCCTGCTTCCGCCATGGACAGGGTGGACAGACAGGACGCTGGGCTGCACGGCCACTAACACATGAGTATGGAGAGTTCGGGGAATTTGCTTCTTTCCAAATGCCCACCATCTGAACCTATTCTCCCCTCCCGGAGCAGAGTTCACTTAGAAGTAATACTGTTTAAAAAAAAAAAAGTAATACTGTTTGTGATTCTCCTATTTTCTCTCCCCTTTAATTATCACGTTAAACATCAAAGAGTTTACAGAAGAAACTTGGAGTGGAAATCAAGGAAGCGAGGACAGGGCCCCCCTTCACCTGAGAAGAGCGCTCCCCCCCCGCCTTCCAAATGTCAGGGGAGAGGACAGGACACCCTCAGGTGGTCTCAGCACTCTCCTACGGGCTCCCTCTCCAGCACCCCACAACCTCTAGGTGTGTTTCAGGTGGCAGGAGGGTGTGTTACACACACACAGGAGTTAATTTCCGGGGTTGCTCCCAAGCGGGAAAGTCCTGCTGGCCGAGGGTGGGGCCACACCCAGGAACCCAGCCACATCCAGGGCATCGACCCGGCCCACGTTGCTCCCGCCCGAGGCCCCTGGGCCCAGCAGGCCGCCGGGCACGTAGTAGGTGCTCAGCAAGCGCTGGTCCAACTGGACAGTGAAGGGCTTCTCCCCTCCATGGAGCCTGCGGTGCTCCGCCAGAGGCCCGCTCCAGCCGAACACCTCGCCGCACTCGTGACACTTGAAGGGCTTCTCCGCCGAGTGGGTCTTCTGATGTTTAATGAGACAGTGGTTCTGGCTGAAGGCCCGGCCACACTGGCCGCACTTGTAGGGCTTCTCGCCGGTGTGCACACGCTGGTGCACAATGAGCGACGAGTGGCAGCTGAAGGCCTTCCAGCAGCGGCTGCAGTCGAAGGGCTTCTCGCCCGTATGCACGCGCTGGTGCACGATCAGGTAGGAGTGGGAGCTGAAGGCCTTGCCGCACTCGTCGCAGCGGAAGGGCCTCTCGCCGCTGTGCACGCGCTGGTGCACCGCCAGGTACGAGTGGCAGCTGAAGGCCTTGGCGCACTGGCCGCACTTGTAGGGCCGCTCGCCGGTGTGTGCGCGCTGGTGCAGCGTCAGGCGCGAGCGGCTGCTGAAGGCCTTCTGGCAGTCGCTGCAGCGGAAGGGCTTGTCCCCGCTGTGCAGCTTCTCGTGCGCTGTCAGCGACGAGTGGCAGGCGAAGGCCCGGCCACAGGCGCCGCAGCGGTAGGGCTTCTCGCCCGTGTGCACGCGGCGATGGCGCGTGAGGTGCGTCCGCTGGTTGAAGGCCTTGCCGCACTCGCCGCAGCGGTAGGGCCGCTCCCCCGTGTGCACGCGCAGGTGCATGGCCAGCAGCGAGCTGCAGCTGAAGGCCTTGGCACACTGGCCGCACTTGTAGGGCCGCTCGCCGGTGTGTGCGCGCCGGTGCACGTTGAGGGACGAGTGGCAGCTGAAGGCCTTGCCGCACTGGCTGCATAGGAAGGGCTTCTCGCCGGTGTGCACGCGCCGGTGCTCCAGGAGGGTGGTGCTCCAGCTGAAGGCCTTGCCGCACTCACTGCACTTGTAGGTCTTCTCCCGCGCATGCCAGCGCTGGTGCAGCGCCAGCGCCGCGCTCCGCTGGAAGGCCTTGCCGCACTCGCCGCAGGCGAATGGGCCGCTCCCCGCACCCTGGCTCCGGCGCCGGCTCCTGGCCCCGGTGGACCGCACCCTCCCAGGCTGGCTTTCTGGAGAGGCTCCTTCCGCAGGAAGGCTGGGCTGGGCCGGCAGGGCGCTCTGCAGGCCAAGTGCCTCCTTGGACTCATAGCGGCCCTGCCGGCGCTCCTCGGCAGACCCAGCACCTGCGTAGGCGGCTTCGCCTTGGGCCAGAGCAGTCGCCAGGCACCCCCAGGGACACTCACTGCTGAAGCCGGGGTTGTGCACACTGGACCTTGCCGGCCCGTCTGAGATCGGCTCCCAGGGCGGCTCTTCCTTGTAAACAAGCGTCTCCTCCACTGCAGGCCGGGGTTCCCATCCCGGTTCTGGAAGGAAGGGAGAGACCACCCTCTGAGAGCAGGTGGAGGGGCAGCGCCAGGGCTCAGGGCGGGACGTGCCTAGAGCATAGGTGAGCGAGTTAGCGCTGGTGCAGGGGCGGGGCGGTAGGCGAGGCAGCAGGGCTGGCCGGGGGAGTGGGGGGTGGGGGCACGGAGGTGGGGCGGTGGGGAGTGGGTGGGGCGTGAGGAGGCTGGGCAACGGGCAGGGCGCCAGGTGGAGGACACGGCAGGCAGGCCAGAGTCTCGCAAAAGCCAGGCCACTCTGTAAGGAGCAGGTCGGCGGGTGGAGGAGCCCGCACTGACAGCCCCACGTGTGACCATTCCATGTGCAGATGCTCCTGTCTCCCTCCAGCTCAAGGCAACCGGCTGTGTCCGTTCTGTTCACTGTGCCCCCAGCACGGGTCCTGGCACACAGTTGGTGCTCAGAGTGTGCTCGGGGAAGGGAGGCAGGAGGGGCCGAGCAGGTGCAGAGGGAGCCGGCAGCGGACCACAGGGGCAGTGGGGAGGGGCTCCACCTCCACACCCCGCTCACCTGGACCCGGCCCCACAGGCCCGTCTCTGGGAGCCTGCCATGGCTCCTCGCCTCGCTCCAGGTGGGAGATGACGTCTGGCTTGCAGACCGGAGGCCCTGCATGGGGAGGAAGCGACAGGGTTCTGGGCGTCCTGTGTGCCAGCCCCGAGGAAGGGGGCTCAGATGGGGAACCCACGCTGACCTGTGGGTCTGAGGACCCCACAGGGACTGACGCCCCCTCCAGGGCAGGCTGGGCTCCTGGGGCCTGTCCACCTCCCTCCCTCTCCTCCAGGCCCCACCTGCAGGCAAAGATGCCAATGGCACCACAAGGGCCGAGGGCAGACAGGAGCCCACGTCCTGCCAGGCCCAGCCCCTAGGGGAGACGGGACCCGGCCTCCCCACCTTGGGCACCATCTTACCCAGAGAGAGAAGGTTCTGGTAGTTTTCCAGCATCACATCCCGGTACAGGGCCCTCTGGGGGGAGTCCAGTTGGCCCCACTCCTCCTGGGTAAAGTCCACGGCCACATCCTTGAAAGTCACGGACTCCTGGAAGGACACACATGTTCTCTCTCTCTCACCCAGGATGGCGGAGTCCACCTGTGTTCCTGGGTGACGGAGGAGCTCAGCAGCGGAGACCCCGGAAGCCGTCCTGAGTGTGGCTGGAAGGCTGTGCTGACACAAACGGCTCCAGCCCCGGACAGGCGCCGCACTGCGCCCTGAGGGCGGACCCTGGACCCCTCCGTGTCCTTCCTGCTTGCCCCCCACTTCTTCCTGCCAGGCCTCCTGCTCTCCCTGGGCCATGTCCCTGGCTTAACCTGCTCCCACCCTCCCCCAACACTGGCCCCTGGTCTGCAGTGCCCTCCTCGGTCACCCCAGCTCCAAGCGTCCTGAAAGCCCCAATGACTCTCCGTGTGACTCTGCTCCGGAACCCCGGTGTTCTGGGCAAGATTAGCCAGAGATTAAAGGCTTCTCTGGGGTCACACTGAAACCTAAAAGCCTCAGAAAGATCCAACTACATACTAAGTAATTTCACCGCATCCCAGAACATGTAAGGAATTAAACCCAACACTCAAGAAAGTAAAATTCACTCTGTCCAAGAACATGGACACCAAAGGGGAAAAGGGAGGGACAAAGTGGGAGACTGGGGCTGACACGCACACGGTGCCACGGGTAAAGCCCAACCAAGGAGAGCCTGCTCCACGGCACAGAGACTCCACTCAGCGCTCTGAGGCAACCTGAACGGAAGGAAATCCAAAACAGAGAGGCTACGTGTATGCACAAGGCTGATTCACTTTGTAAGGTAACCATACTGCAATAAAAGCCTTAAAAAATTCACTCTGTCCAGAATCCAACCAAGTAACTAAAAGGAAAAGCTAATAAAATCAGAAGATTTAATAAGCGTTTCATAAAACAGTATTTATTTACCTCAAAAGAAGGTGTTAAGGGCGAAACAGAATCAAAGATACAAGATAGAAAAAAGAAACAGCACAAGGGCGGCTACAAATTCAACCACACCAATAATCATATGAAATGTGAGTAAATACCCCAAGTAAAACTGGGAGACTGTCAAAATGAAGTTAAACAGCAAAACCCAACCACATGCCAGCTACACAATCCAATTTAAATACAAAGACTAAGACAGATTAAAAGTGAAAAAAGACAGAAAAAGATACACTCTGTCAACGTGAATCAAAAGAAAACCGAGGTAGCTATATCAACATCAGACAAAGATTTCAGAGCCAGGGATACCAGAGATAACTCATAATTACATGATTATGTAGTGATCATTACTATAGGATCGATTCATGACGAGCTCACAAGAACTGCAAACAGAGATGAACCTGTCAGCAGAGCCTCGAAGTGCACAAACCAAGACCTGACAGGGCTGAAAACAGGCCGCCTGGCGGCTCCGTGCTAACGACTCTCCTGCAGGAGACACGGGTTTGGTCCGTGATCTAGGAAGACCCCACGTGCCGCGGAGCAGCTGAGCTCGTGGGCCACAGCCACGAGAGCCCGCGCACCTAGGGCTCTGCTGCTGCTGCTAAGCCACCTCCGTCGTGTCCGACTCTGTGCGACCCCACGGACGGCAGCCCGCCAGGCTCCGCCGTCCCTGTGACTCTCCAGGCAAGGCCACTGCCTTCTCCGCTACGGCCCACACTCCACAACACGAAGCCCATGCAGCGCAGCTCGGGAGTAGCCCTCGCCCTTCACAGCCAGAGACAAGCCCGTGCAGCAACAGCACCCAGCACCCAAAAGCACGTTTAAAGAACGAAGTGAGAACAGAAACAGAGAAACCCACAGTTACACTGGATGGTCCTGACGACGGTCTCCCAGTAACTGACGCGATGCACAAGCAGAGAACGTCAGAACACAGAACACCCGAATGACACCATGATTCAATGCTGACTTGGTATTTACAAAGCACTCTAGCCCACAAAAGCAGGATACACATTCTTTTCAAGTGCACACAGAACATTTACTAAGATAAACCACAGGCTGGGTAATAAAGCAAGTCTCAGTAAATTTGAAAGATTTCAAATCATACACAGTTCCTTCTATAGCATAATTAGAAACAATAGCAGACACCTGGAAAATCCTCCACCTATTTAGAATTAACAGACTCCTAAATAATACGAAGCTGAAGGAGAAATCACCAAAAAATTGTAGAAACTTCTTTGAACTGAAAAAGGAAAATAAAACATACCAAAATTTTCAGCATATACCTAAAGAGGACTTAGAATGAACTTTATAGCAGTGAATGTAGCAGTGAATGCTACGTGAGAATAGGTATCAAATCAATACTTAAGTTTCAACTTGAAGAAACCAAAGTGAAAGAAAGAAATAAGAATCAGAAATCAGTGAAAAGAGAAAAGAAAAGCGACAGAGAAAAATCAATGAAACCAAAAGAAGGTTCTTCACAAAGATGAATAATTAAACATATATCTACTATATGACTCAGCCATCCTACTCTTGAGTATTTATGCAAGAGAAGAAACACACCTGTAACGCGTATGCCAATATTTATAGTAGGCTTATTTGTAATAGCCTAAACCTGGAATCAACCCCTAAACAGCTGGTGAGCAGATAAACAAATAGTGCGGTACATGTACAATGGTGTTATGTGCAGAACCATGGCCCCTCCACATTAGTTTGTTGAAGCCCTAAGTTCCAATATGTTAGAATGTGACTTGACTTGAAGATGGGGTCTTTAAAGAGGTAATTAAGGTAAACGAGGTCATTAGAATGGGCCCTGACATAAAGACTACTGTCCTGATAAGAAAAATGAAACTTGGACACAGATACGTAGAGGGAAGGACATGTGAGGACACAGAGAAGCGCCCTCTACAAACCAAGGAGAGCTGCTCAGAAGAAACCTACCAACACCCTGACCTCAGACTTCAAGCCTCCAGAACCAGGGGACAACACACGTCTGCTGCCTGAGCCACCGAATCTGTGGCATTTTGTTAAGGCAGCCCAGCAACCTAAAATGGAGTGCAGTCTCATTCAGCAATCAAAAGGAGCAAGTTGCTGACTCAAATCAGGACATGGATGCAAAAGCATCATGCTAAGTGAGATAAGTCAAAAACAAAATCACATATATAATTTCATGTGAAATTCTCCAAAAGGCAAAATTATTTTGGTTGCCAAGGGGACAGGTGGAGAAGATGGACTATAAAGGGGCATGAAGGGACTTTCTGGGTGATGGAAAAGTTCTCTCCTGACTGTGGTGCTTACACAACTATATGCATGTGCCAAAACTCACCAACTCCTACATGTATAAAACTGGAGAACTCTTCCTGTGTATAATCATACCTCAGTAAGTCTGACCATAAAGAAGGATGAGCAGCAAAGAATCAGTGCTTTCGACTGTGGTGTTGGAGAAGACTCGAGAGTTCTGTGGACTGCAAGGAGATCTAACCAGTCACTCCTAAAGGAAATCAACCCTGAATATTCATTATAAGGACTGATACTGAAGCTCCAATACTTTGGAAAGACTAGAGATCTCTTCAAGAATATTAGAGACACCAAGGGAACATTTCATGCAATGTTCCAACCAGTCCATCCTAAAGGAAATCAGTCCTGAATATTCATTGGAAGGACTGATGCTGAAGCTGAAACTCCAATACTTTGGCCACCTGATGCGAAGAACTGACTCCTTGGAAAAGACCCTGATGCTGGGAAAGATTTAAGATGGGAAGAGAAAGGGACAACAGAGGATGAGATGGCTGGATGGCATCACCGACTCAACAGAGTTTGAGTAAACTCCGGGAATTGGTGATGGACAGGGAGGCTGGGCATGCTACAGTCCATGGGGTCGCAAAGAGCTGGACACGAACTGAACTGATTTCATGCAAAAACAGGCACAATAAAGGACAGAAACAGTAAGGACATAACAGAAGCAAAAGAGATTAAGAAAAGGTGGCAATAATGCACAGAACTGTACAAAAAAGCTCTTAATGACCCGGTTATCCATGTGTGGTGTGGTCACTTACCTAGAGCCAGATATCCTGGAGTGTGAAGTCAAGTGAGCCTTAGGAAGCATCCCTACAAACAAACTGGAGGAGGCGGGGGAATTCCAGCTGAGCTATTTCAGATCCTGAAAGATGCTGCAGCTGAAGTGCTGCACTCAATACGCCAGCAAATTTGGAAAACTCAGCCGTGGCCACAGGACTGGAAAAGGTCAATTTTCATTCTAATCCTAAAGGAGTGCAATGTCCAAGAATGTTCAAACTACCACACAATCGCACTCATTTCACAAGCTAGCAAGGTAATGCTCAAAATCCTTCAGCTAGGTTTCAACAGTATATGAACCGAGAACCTCCAGATGTACAAGCTGAGTTTAGAAAAAGCAGAGGAAAGAAAAAAAAAAAAAAGAAAGAAAAGTCAGAGGAATCAGAGATCAAATTGCCAACTTCACTGGGTCACAGAAAAAGCAACAGAATTCCAAAAAACATCTACTCCTGCTTCACTGACTATGCCTTTGACTGTGTGGATCACAATAAACTATGGAAAAATCTTAAAGAGATGAAAATACCAGACCACCTCACCTGTCTCCTGAGAAACCTGTATGCAGGTCAAGAAGTAACAGTTAGAACTTTACATGGAGCAATGGACTGGTTCAAAACTGGGAAAGGAGAGCATCAAGGGTATATATTTTCACCCTGCTTATTTAGCTTTACATGCAGAGCACATCGTGCAAAATGCTGGGCTAGATGAATCTCAAACTGGTATCCAGATTGCCAGGAGAAATATCAACAATCTCAGATACGCAGATGATAATACTCTATTGGCAGAAAACAAAGAGGAACTGAAGAGCCTCTTGATGAAGTTGAAAGAGGAGAGTGAAAAAGCTGGTTTAAAACTCAAGATTCAAAAAACTAAGATCACAGCATCCAGCCCCATCACTTCATGGCAAATAGATGGGGAAAATATGGAAACAGTGACACATTCTATTTTCCTGGGTTCCAAAATAACTGCAGACAGTGACTGAAGCCATGAAATTAAAAGACAGTTTCTCCTTGGAAGAAAAGCTATAACCAACCTAGACAGTGTATTAAAAAGCAGAGACATTACTGACAAAGGTCCTCATAGTCAAAGTCATGGTTTTTCTAGCAGTCGTGTATGCATGTGAGAATTGAACGTTAAGAAGGCTGAGCACACAAGAACTGATGCTTTTGAACTGTGGTGTTGGAGAAGACTCTTGAGAGTCCCTTGAACAGCAAGAAGATCAAACCAGTCACTCCTAAAGGAAATCAACCCTGAATATTCGTTGGAAGGACTGATGCTAAAGCTGAAGCTCCACTACTTTGGCCACCTGATGAGAAGAACTGACTCACTGGAAAAGACCCTGAGGCTGGGAAAAATTGAGGGCAGGAGGAGAAGGGGACGACAGGAGATGAGATGGTTGGATGGCATCACTGACTGAATGGACATAAATCTAAGCAAACTCCAAGAGATAGTGAGGTACAGGAGAGGCTGGCATGCTGCAGTCCATGGGGTTGCAGAGTTGGATACGTCTTAGCGACTGAACAGCAACAACAGGGCTGATACAAAAACCCCACTGGACTTCAGGGAGACAAGAAGGTGGGAATGAGGACACGCTGAGACTGTGTCCACAGCCGAGGCGCTCAGGGATGAAACAAGATGGTGAAAGCAGAGAGAAGGTGGGAAGGGGCAGAAACGAGATCTCAGAACGTGATGCTGGTAACAGAGCTCTCAGCAGCTACATGGCTTCAGTGTGGGGGTGTCAACAGGCAAAAGCAGCATCTGAGCCATGTTGAGGACTTTCTAGGGGCACTCCCAACCTACCGGGAGAAGCCCACGTCCGGTGTGACTTCATTTTGCAGGGCAGGGAGCAAAAGGGTGTGGAATCAAAGGCAGACTTGGTAATGCAACTTGCAAAGGAGTCAGAACAGACCACGAGGATGTCCCGGCCGGGAAGCACCCGGGCCACAGTACGAGACTGTTGTGGGAGGAGAGCACTTCACACAGAGGACCAGCTATCCAAAGCCCTGGGAAGCTGGTGCTTCAGGATTAACGTCTGTGCACAAGGAGGGGAGTGCCTCCGAGGTGGCGCTCTCAACACACACCCCACTTTTTCCTCCATTTCAAGGTCAGCTGCAGACATCAGAACATCTCGGCCTACGTTCTTCAGCCTGTACTTCCCACAGATGTTCTCTACACAATCACAGTGCCATCATCAAACCCATGAAGTTAAATAGTGATACAAAGCTATATGAAATACATTTCCAAATGCCCTTGACAGAATTTTGGATCTATGACCCACCAAGGACCATATATCTATCACATGTGTTCATCATGTCTCCTGAGTGTTTTACAGAACATTCTAACATTGCAGAAGCTGGGCCCGTCTCACCATACATGTTTCAAGAGTCATTTCTACCTTTCAAGTGACAGGTTAACAGAATTACCAAATCCTAAAAAGGACAAAGGACTCTCAACTCTCCAAGCTTTTCACCCATACTGTCTCTATCAACTGCACCTTTCTGAACACTGGGAAGGATAGACAGGGGTAGGTGCTGGAGCAAGATGATGAGCAAAAACCCAAAGTCTGTAAAAGGAGTGATTTGTGCTTCACTCAGCTGCAGAAGCGGCCCCAAGGCCAACTCCCTTCAGAGCCCTGAAAGCCTCCATAATTCCACGATTTTCCACGAAGGCCTTGTGTCAGGAACCGGGTACAGAGAAAAAGCATATCTGGACGCTCGCTCTACCGTCACTGTTACCCCCAGCGCTGCAACCCAGCCCTCCCATCAGGTGTTCCACGCCCTCTTACCGAACTTACTCCCAGAAAATGCGACCGAACAAGGATCAACCACAGCAAAACATCCCATAGGCCTGCATGTGCAGATAAGCCAAGTGATCTCATGGGAGCGGTCACCTACTAGGTGTGGGTGGCACTGAAACCACCACCGAGAGCTCCTGGCACAGTGCTGGGCACACAGCAGTCCTGAGCGACGGCCGACCGCTGGGCTGTACCAGGCTGGAAGCGACACGCACCTGGAGGGCGCGCCAGGGCGTCACCGGACCTGCCCCCCCACCGCGAATACCCAGAGCTTCCTGAGGACCGCACCACAGGGACCCAGATCGGGGGTCCCTGGATGACTGTATGGCCTGGGTGATGGAAGGAGGAAGCCAATCCTCCTCATAAAGAACGAGATGTTAAAAAAAAAAAAGGACAGTCACTCACCTCCGACCTGGCTTCTGGGAGACCCTGAGGCAATACATCTTCTGGAATGTCTTTGAGGAGACGAGCAGGATCTGGGAAAGACAAATGAGTCTATGGGGCTGTTCCGTCCACAGCCACCAGGCACCCCCGGCCCAGGGAGAATCAAGGGGAGTCAGAGGCGAGCCCCAGCTTCGGCACAACCAGAGAACCTGGAGCTAATTCTGCTACTCGGCGTCTCGGCCATGCCACTTACAGAGGAAACGCGGCGCCCTTCCCGTCCCCGTGTCCACCGGGAGGAGGGGGCGGCCTGACTCTGGAGCGCTTCCAGGGACCCCCCCTGCCCTCCCCGTGCAAACCCAGGCCCGCGTCCGACACGCCAACCGTACCTGTCCCCCGCGTCTCCTGGGCGTCCATGCCCTCCCTCGACGGCCGCCGCGGCTGGGGGAGGGGCAGGCCGGGCTCCCGGGGCTGGGGACGCTCACGCAGCCCCGCGGGGGCGGTTCCGCGCCCCTGGTCGGGGTCAGGCGGGCTCCGCAGGCGCCGGGCGCGTCGGGCTGCGCTCCCGCCCCATGGCGCGCCCCGCCAGTATGTCAGTCACGCCTCCCGGGTCCGGGCGGGTCGACCAGGCCTCGGGCTTAGCCGCCCCGAGCTGAGGGTCGCGAGGGCGGCACAAAGGTGAGGGGCGGACCGGCGGACCGACGAAGGGCCAGGGGCTCGCGCTGCCGAACCGACCCACCTCCCACGGGAAGACCGCGGCTGCCACCACAAAGGAGCGCTTGTGGGGCGCCGCGGGACGGGCGCATGCGCGGAACGGACGCGCACAACTCCCAGGAGCCTTTGCGCCGCGCAGGGGCGTCAGGGCCGGAGCCGCTCTGACGTACGTGCAGCACAGTCTTCTGGGAAGTGTAGTTATGGGGCCAGAACCCTGCGCTCTGGCCCCGCCCCTCTCCCGCCCCGCCCCCCGAGGCTGCGGAAATCACTTGCATCTGGGTGTGTGTGGCGTGTGTATGTGTGATATGTGCGGTGTGTGTATGTAGTGTGTGTGTACTGTCTGTGTGGTGTGTGTGGTTTGTGTGTGGTATGTATGTGTGTTGTGTGTGGTGTATATGAGTGGTGTGGTGTTTGTGATATGTGTGATGCATGTGGTCTGTGTGTGGTCTGTGTATGGTATGTAGTGTGTATGGTCTGTGTGTGGTGTATGTATGATGTTTGTGTGATATGTCTATGTGTGGTATATATGTGTGGTGTGTCTGTGATGTGTGTGTGGTGTTTGTGTGGTGTATATGTACAGGGTGTGTGGTGTATGTGTGGTATGTGTGTGGTGTATGTGTGTTGTATGTATGGCATGCCCAGTTTGTATGTGTGGTGTGTGTGACACACTGTGTGTGGTGTGTAGTATGTGTGTGGTGTCTGTGCTGTGTGTGTATATGGTGTGTATGCGTGTATGGTGTGTATGTGTGTGTGTGTGGTGTGTATGTGTGTATCGTGTGTGTGTATGTGGTGTGTGTATATGGTGTGTATGTGTGTATGGTGTGTATGTGTGTGTGTATGGTGTGTGTGTATATGGTGTGTGTGTGTGTATGGTGTGTATGTGTATGTATGGTGTGTGTGTATATGGTGTGTGTGTGTGTATGGTGTGTATGTGTATGTATGGTGTGTGTGTATATGGTGTGTGTGTGTGTATGGTGTGTATGTGGTGTGTGTATATGGTGTGTATGTGTGTATGGTGTGTGTGTATGGTGTGTATGTGTGTGTGTATGGTGTGTGTGTGTGGTGCGTGTGTGTATGGTGTGTGTGTGTGTATATGGTGTGTATGTGTGTATGGTGTGTGTGTATGGTGTGTGTGTATGGTGTGTGTGTATGGTGTGTATGTGTGTGTGTATGGTGTGTGTGTGTGGTGCGTGTGTGTATGGTGTGTGTGTGTGGTGTGTGTGTGTATGGTGTGTATGTGTGTGTGTGTATGGTTTGTGTACGTGGTGTGTGTATATGGTGTGTATGTGTGTGTGTGTATGGTGTGTGTGTGTGGTGTGTGTGTGTGGTGTGTATGTGGTGTGTGTGTATGGTGTGTATGTGTGTGTGTGGTGTGTGTATGTGTGTATGGTGTGTGTGTGTGTGTGTGGTGTCTGTGGTGTGTGTATATGGTGTGTATGTGTGTATGGTGTGTATGTGTGTGGGGTGTGTGTGTGTATGGTGTGTGTGTGTGGTCATGTGTGGTGTGTGGGGGGTGTATGGTGTGTATGCGTGTATGGTGTGTGTGTGGTGCATGTGTGGTGTGTGTGGGGTGTATGGTGTATGCATGTATGGTGTGTGTGTGTGGTGCATGTGTGGTGTGTGTGGGGTATATGGTGTGTATGCATGTATGGTGTGTGTGTGTGTGGTGCATGTGTGGTGTGTGTGGGGTATATGGTGTGTATGTGTGTGGTGTGTGTGGGGTGTATGGTGTGTATATATGGTGTGTATGTGTGTATGGTGTGTATGTGTGTGGTGTGTGTATATGGTGTGTATGCGTGTATAGTGTGTGTGTGGTGCGTGTGGGGTGTATGGTGTGTGTGTGGGGGGTACATGTGTGGTGTGTGTCTGTATGCGCACCTGGTAGGTGAGTGGAGAGTTCAGGCTGGACGACCTCTGAGTGGGGTGGACAAGGCTCCAGGGCACCCTTCCTGGGACCCCCGGGAACTGGAGGGCAGGCCGGCCATGCTTCTGACGGTGGGGTGGGCAGGGGTCTGCAGACGGCCGCGTCTCCATCCGTGTAGAAACCCCGCGTGCTGAGGGGCCAGGAGTTCCGGGGCTCAGACACGGCCGGGCTCTGGGTACTGTGGGCGCGGATCTGCCCCAGGAGAGCACCAGCGCCCTGGGTCGGCCTGGGCGGAGGGCCGGCGCCTCCAGGACCGCACGCTCAGACCCGCGCTCTTCAGCCGCAGGATGGAAGAGCCTGAGGGCGTCTGAAGGGGGTGGGGCGGTCGTGTGGGTCTGAGCCCTCACCCTGTGGGGTGTGACGCCACCTCGGGGAAGACAGTGCCGGCGGCGGTCAAGTCTTCGGACGCCGCGCCTGGGCCGGAATCGGCTCCCCGGAGGAGGCTCGGCGCGGGTGGTGACCAGAAGCTGCAGGAGAGGCGCTGTCTGTGAAAGGAAAGGCAAACAGGAGCGAAAACCCGCGGGCTCGAGCGGGCTTTGCTCCTCAGACACGAACAGGAGGAGGCCGCTCTGCACAGCTTCCTGGGGGGCGGCCGTGGCCTGAGGCTCAGAGCCGCACACACACAGGCCAGGGGCGGACCAGCCGGAGCCTGGGCTTTGTGCGGGGGGCTGTGGCCCCTGGGTTGGAAGGTGTGGGCCGCGGGACTGTGTGACAGCCCCACCCGAGGGGTCGGGGCTGAAGCCGAGGTTTGGAGAAGGGCGCCCGTGCGGCACCGAGGTCTGGGGCGGCCCACAGGGCATGAGCGGAAGGGCACGGCCAGCCTGTCGGTATGGAGAGATCGATGGGGACAGATGGTGACCCCTGGCCACGGGGCGAGGTCAGAGCCACGCCAGGCCTGACAGTGAAGGCCACGGACGCCAGGGCCAGACAGCAAGGCCATCGTCAGGTACTGAGGCCAGCCAAGGTCAACGCTGGGTGGAGAGTTGCTCCCTGCAGAGCCACCTGACCCGGGGCGGCTCCCAGGGAACGCCGGGGCGGCCAGGGCCTCCAGGAGGCCAGGGCCCAGTCCCAGGGCCTGGTGGGCAGGGGGCGTTCCGAGGCACGGTGCGCCCGGTCCAGCCCCCACAGGAAGCCCCGTTCCTGCCCTGGGACCCTGGGCGAGTCACTCCCCCTCTGACCCTGTCTTTCAAGGAGGCGCTGGTCTTGGAGGGAGTGCCCCTCGGGCCTCAGGCGTCCTAGGCTCTGACGTGGGTGGGGGGTGGGAGAGACACGCCAGGCCCCAGGGACCACCCATGGCCCGTGAGGCAGGACGAAGCGGCCTACTGTGTGCGGTGGGTCGAGCCAGACCTGCAGCTGAGCCCACCGAGGCCCAGCCATGCAACCTGCATGCTGGGCACTGCGGGGCACCACAGCCTCGCCTTCTCTCCCCGAGGGCCCACGGTCCAGACCCCGCCCAGCCAGCCTCCCTTGCTCACCCTCCAGAGGCTCAGACCGAGAGTGCCACCCCCGCCTAGAGCCCGGCCCACACCGCGCCCTCCAAGAGCAGCTCCGAGACCACCCCCCCCACCCCGTGGGTGCCCTGCTCAGAGGTCCTGTCCCCTTCAGGCCCCTGTGCCGGGTCCCCGCTGGCTTCAGGACCGCCTGCCTCACCGCCTACACCGCTCTGCTGAGAAGCCGATGGGCCCGAGCCTGGTGGGCGTTCAGCCACCCACGCTCTGCCTCCTAGAGGTGGAACCTGGGCACCTGCACTTCAGATACTGCCCTGAGGACCTTGAGGTTACAGCCCTGAGGTTCCCCCCGACCCCCCGGCCACCAGAACCCCATCAGCAAGCGATACCCCCTGGCTCCTCACCGCCCTCAGACCCCAGGAAAGAAAACCTCCAGGCTGGGTGGCCGCTCTGAAAACAGCTCAGGGGTGACCACAGGGAAGCCCCAAGGCGTGACGGCCCCCCTTCTCCGCATGGAGAAGCCCAGGGCCCCCCCTCCTCCCCGAGCTAATGGGCAGCTACTCTCCCGCCGGGCCCAGTGGGAGGGCCAGTGTAAAGGTGCAGAGCCGAGCTGGGGACGCCCGAGCTGGTGGCTGCCCACGGACATGGCTGGCCTGGCCCTGGCACTCGGCTGGGGGTGCAGTGGGGCACAAGCTGGGCCTGTCAGCACCTCCGTGCAGGGAGCCCTCCCTCCCCAGCAGGACCCCCGCCAGGAGCTCCTGGGAGGAACTGGAGAGCAGGCCTGGGTGTGGCACCCCCCCAACCCATAGGTCCCTCCACCGCAGGGACGACAGCCGTGGTCACAGCCTTGGCTGGGCGCCCCAGCCCGCCCCTCACCCCAGGCCTTGCCTTCGCCCTGGCCCTGCACCGATGAAGCCTGGGCTGGGGTCTCCACAACCGGCTTCCTGACTCTGAACGCGGCCTCTGAGGATCAGAGCTGTGCTGACGGCCTGGCCTGCTCACTGTGGCCGACACCTCTTCGCCCCACCAGGACCCAGGGGGCCCTCAGGACCTCTCCTGTCTGTCTGTTTTTTCCCCCGTCACACCCAATCTGTTGGCCTCTGTCTGCCCGGGGCCCAGGCCGCCCACCCTCGCCCCCCGCATCTCTCACACTCCCTCCTGCCGGTCAGCAATCCTGGAGTCTCCCCCACGTCTGCTCCCACCCTCAGGGCCTCCCTGCGGCCCCCTCCTGGGGATCTGAGGGTCTCTTGGGTGCCACAGGCGAGATTCAGAGAGGGCAGAGGCCTGGGTCACATAGCCAGGCTCGGCGGGCCTGGGGACGAAATCCAGGGCTCCTGTGTGAGCCATATTTTAATTACGGAGGGGAGGGTGGGGGGGGTATGGTTAACGAGGCTCCAGGGAACAGCAGGGCCAGATGCTGGGGGTCCCCCGGGGCCCAGTGACTCAGCAGGAGTGAGGGGCCGGGGGGTTGACCGAGGCCGTATTCTCCCCTCCCTCTGCGCCTTCCAGGGTGACAGGCTCTGAGGACTGAATGAGTCAATGAGCAAACGAGAGGGGCCTTCACAGTGACCTGGGGCCACGGCTGCCCACGGACAGGGTCGACTGCACCCCCAATCACATGCATATGCGCACACACACACACACACACACACACACACACGAGTACAGAGCTAGAGAGTCTCCCGGGGGGTCCCGGGGACACAGGCCCCATCAGCTATCTTGCCATCTCCCTTCCTAGTCCAGCCTGGATCCTCGCCAGGCCCTCCCCACCCACAATTTGCCAGGGCGGTCCCAGGGCACCCACAGCCCTAACTAGTCCCTTGGCGCCGTAAGCACAACATGCCCTGGGTGGGGGGGGGGGATCCTGCCCTCCAGAGGGGCCCACAGTGCCATGTCTGTGGCCCTGGGGTGGGCAGGGGCAATAATGCAGGTACCATGGCAGCAGGGTGAGAATAAATGGGGTGCAGTGGTGAGGAGGCGAGGGGCGGGAGAGCCAGCAGGGATCCGTGAGGGCCTCGAACCCCAGGCCAAGCGAGAGGTGCACGGTTGGCGGGGGTAGCCCCACCTGGGACCCTCAGCCCCAGATCCATTCAGCAAGGACCCCATCCGGCGACATCCAGCCCGCTCAGCACCACGGGGCCGTGCTGGGGACCCTGCTGTGGATGCAGGTGGACAGAGAACAGAGCCATTTCACTGGCTGTCAGGGTGCTGTGGGGGAGGGGCCCAAGTTACCAGGTGTGGGGAGCTGGTCCTGGAAGGTTGCCCTGCCCCAAAGGGATGCGTGGGGGCAGCCAGGAGAGGGGGCCCAGGGGTTCCCCCCAGGCAGGCAACGCAAAGGCCTAGGGGGTGGAGAGCGGTCGCTGGGAGGAGGAGGACGGGACCAGCACACAGACAGGGAGAGATGGCGGGGCCTCGGCAGCCTCCGGAGGCCGGGGCCCAGAAGAGCGCACCAGGGACCCTGCAGAGCTCGAAGGCTGGTGCGGCAGTGCACTGGAGTGAGGGGGTTCCAGACAGAGCCTGGACCTGGTGTGGGAGGAGGGGCTTCGGCCAGTGGGCGAGGCTGGGGCCCGGACCGCACTTGTTTTCCTGCCCTGAGTGGGCCGGGACAGTGGCTTTGAGCAGAGGATGAGCTCAGTTCCCCGTTTGGGTTTGGGTGTCTCCACGTCCCCATCGCCTCTGTCTGAAGCCTGTCCAAGCCCCCTGTGGGGACTCACTGACAACGTGGTCTCTCGGGCAAGCCCTGCACGCTTATACCCGCGGCGCCGTTCCCTTGGCTCCTTGGGTCTCAGGCCTGCCTGGGTTCCCCAAGCCCCAGGCCGGATCCCGCGAGGCTTCGGTCGTTCCCACAGCCGTCCCCCCGGGGCCCTCTCCACGGAGCGTCGCCCGGGCCCCATTGGTCGCTAGGCTGCAGGATGGGGCTCAGGCCCGGCCGGGCTCTGGAAGCGGCGGTGGAGGCGGTGGCCAAGAGGATGGCGGCAGAGCCCCGGCGCCCGTGGGTCCAGGTGCGCAGCGCTTACGGCGCCGGCGAGGCGCTGCGGCGCGCGGTGGGCCGCCGGCGGGACCCCGGGCCGCAGCCCAATGGGCCGGTCCCCGCCGAAGCCCGCGGCCCGGGCCGCCTGGCTCGCTTGCGGGGCCAGCTCCGGGCTGAGGCGGCGGCGCGGGCCGACGCGCCCCGACTGCTACGGCTGGTGGAGCGCGCGGGGGCCGCGGCGGGGGCGGCGGAGACCGGGGAGCAGGCGGAGGAGCGCAGCCGCGGCTCCGTGTGCTCCGTGTGCGGCGAGCCGCGCGGCGGGGCCACCTACCCGGCGGGTGTCCTGGAGGTGAGCGAGCGGCGGCTGCAGGAGGGCCTGGCGGCCATGCGCGCGGAGCTGGGCGCGGGGCTGGAGGCGCTGCGCGCGGAGCTGCGGGCCGAACTGGACGCCCTGCGCGCGCTGCTGCCGCCTCCACCCGCCGCCCGCCGCGAGCCCCGCGTCCCCCGAGGCCCGGCCCTGCTGCGGGCACTGGGCACTGTGAACGCCCTGGCCGCGGGCGCCAGGCCCACCGACGACGCCTCAGACGGCTGGGCCGACGGCGGCGCGAACAGGGCCCCGGCCAGGAAGAACCTCAAGAAGACCCCGGTACCACCCGGGGCCCCGCAGAGCGGCGGGGATTAAGCCTGGGGCGAGGGCCGGGGGCGGCGCCGCTGGTCACCCGGCTTTGCTACTCCGAAATGGACTGGGGCTCGTGGGGCGTGGCTCGGAGCGAGAAGGGTCCTCCGACCCTTTCGGTCCACCGAAAGCGGCTGGGGAGCGCGGCTGGTCCGGGCAGCGCTGGGGAGGGGCCGGGTCGGAGGTCTGTCCGCCTCCGCAGACCTCGCGGAGCGACAACTCGCCCCCCACCTCCCGCCCCCCGCCTGGGGGAGGGGTTGTACGTGTGTTTCCTTGAAGGGTCTCAGGGAGGACACCTGCTGTCAGGTGCTGGGGTGGCGAGCCTGACCCACACACCGAGTCCAACAGGCACCAGGGACACGTGGGCTGCAGGGACAGTCACCGGACACCGGCTCACCCAGGACAGCGTCGCTCCGATGCACAGCGCATTTTACTGCCGGCCCTGGACCGCAGCCCGACCCTGGCCAGCGTCACTCCCCCGACCAGCCCCACCTGCTCCTGGACGCGGTGCATCTGGTCAGCGCCTCCAGGACTGCCAGCTTCGCTTTGACAGCAAGGCCACTCACGGACCTTCACTGCGGGCCGTCACGTGACGGCAGTGTCCACCCACAGCAGACTCCACCGCACGGTTTACCCACGTGCTGCCTGGGTCGGGTCTCACTTGGTACAGAAGGCCCGTCACTCACTGTCTGTGTCCCCAGGGGCCGCCTGCCCAGCGAGGCCTCCGGCACAGAGCCAGGAACCGGCAGTGTTTCATCTCCCGGCCTCAGCAAAGTGGCAGCCAGAGGCATCACCAAACCACACGGTGTCTGGGCTGGGCAGCCCACTCCTTTGTAGAATAAATCATGTGCTTGCAGGCACTGACTGGCAGGCGGCCTTGCTTTCTCCTTCCATCTCACCGGGGACAGACATATAGTGTAGGATGGCAGGGTGGGCGCATTTTCCCCCTGAGAGGGCCTGGGACAGTCTGGGCTTCTGGGTGAGGCTGGGGAGATCGGGGGTGCACCCAGGCCATCCCTGCCCCCAGCCACAGGAGGCCAAGGTCATTGTGTGCCTCCTATACCGTGGGAAGGGGGTCTTACCTGCATCCCAGGGGCCCTGCCAGAGCCACAGGCCCAGCAGAGCCCTGCACCCGCCAGCGGGGGTGGGGGCTGCCCCACAGGCTGAGGCGCTGGGGGAAGTGAAGACCCTGCCTCTGCCGAGAGGCTGCTGTGTCCAGGGGAGGGCTGGGAGAGGGGGGCCACATCCTCGAAGACTGTCCAGCGCACCATGGGCGTGCAGTCCGCTGTGGTCAGCGACCCCGCCCTAGCCGTAGAAGCGCGAGAGGCCAGAGGCGCTGGGTAGCAGCGAGACCAGCGGGAAGGTGGACTCCAGGTTCACGGAGGCCCCCGGATTAGGGGTGGTGGCCAGTTGGCGGCTTTCCGCACCAGCCGCCCCATCCCCAACTGCCCAGAAGTTGGCCTTGTCAGAGTCCTGCTCCTGCGGGGGTGGCTGTCAACACAGGGACACTCAGAGAGGAGACCAAGTGGGAAGAGAGGAGAATGGGGCTTTGCTGAAGGCAGAGCCATTCCCGCTGACCCTGCAGTTCCACAGCTTCTCACGGGCCACCTGCCCCCAGACCTCGTTCATCCCAGAGGCCCTGATGGCCCAGTCAAGACCCCTTGCTTGGAAGCAGGCCATCACACAGCCAACCCAGCACTCCCTCCCCGCCAGGAGGCACACCGGCCCGCCTCACGGCCAACAGCATGGCCAGCCCCCCAACCCCCAGGCCCTCAGGGTGTCCCTGGGTGTTCACGTGAACCGCGTGCATCTGGGGAGACAGACCCTGGGAGGTCCCCAGCCGCCCCCACCCGGCTCCCCCAGCCCGGCCTCCATGGGGCACTCTGGCCGCCTCCCCACCTCCATGGGGCAGTGCGGTCCGTGCAGGCTGTGCTTGGAGCCTGCTCACCCAGTGCCCCCTAGGGAAGCCCAGCTGCAGGGTGCAGTAGGCAGGTGGGGGCCCCTGGTGCCCTGCATCTCCAGGGGGCTGTGCGGGTTTGCGTCCACTGGGAGGGGCACCCTCACCACGAGGGCATGAGGTGAGAGCAAAGGTCCCCGTCCGGCCGGCCTGCTCCCTGGCTGGGCCTCTGTGGAAACACGACGCACGGGTGTCCAGGGACCCTGATGGCCGGCCGTGTGGCGCTCCACAGATGGCAGGGGAAGCCCCCTCCCTACGTGGAGGGGAGGAGTCTGGGTCCTGACCCGCCTCGGCTCTGTGACTGCCGGCTTGGGGTGACTCCGAGGCGCCCCGGGCATGCTGAACTCTGGGTATGGCCTCACTTCTGCGCCTTGGGGGACAATGGCTGACTGCTACCCTGGGTGGCGTCCCTGACCTCTGCTGGGGACTCGACCACTGTGTGATTTCTGTGCCGCTTATGGAGACTTTGGTTCCTGTTGGGGCATCCCATCTCAAATGTAGAGAGTCTTCGTCCATTTGGGGGGCTTCCTGACCCTTGTGGGGGGTCTTTGGTCCCTGAATGGCGTCTCGTCTCCTGTGCGGGGGTCCGGATCCTTGTGCGGGGGATTGTGCTCCTGTGCGTGGGGGGATCCTGACCTGGGTGCTGACCCGTATGACCATCATTCTGCAGGGTGGTCCACAGGCCTGGAGGTGCAGAGTCATAGCCTTGGAAGATGAAGGGCCAGAGAGCGGGGTCCCACTGGACCCGGTGAAGGTGGATGTTGATGGGGATTGGGCTGGGCCCCACCGGCTGGGGCTGTCTCCTTCCAATGGATGGGGCCTGGAGGAATATGTTCGGGTCTCTACGGGGGCTCAGAGGAAGTGGCCACCCCACACACACCCAGGCCCCACCGGACAGGTCAGCACTGCCCTCCCTGCCAACCTGGCTTGGCCAGAGTGCATACAGCACTGTCTCAGGGGCGGCCCCTCCCCTTGGGCAGCTGGTCTCCAGGAAGGGGGCGGGGAGGATCTCCCACCCCAGGGGCCTCCACCACTGCCCCCACTTGGGCTGGCCATGCGGCAGGCTCACAGGGCCACCGGCTACAAGCAGCTTGGTGTCCTCGGCACACCTTAGGGCCTGGGAGTCGTAGCACCAGGCACCTGCGGACCCATTCCGGCCTGAGCACCGTCCCCACACTGTCTCAGGGTGGGAGCCATGTCGTGGGACAGTGGATGCCAGGCAGACCCTGGTCTCCTCTTCCCCGACTCCACATTCCTTCTCAAACGACGCCCCTCGCCAGGGGCAGGGCGCCACGAGGAGAGGAAGCATCCCGCGGGGTGAAGATCAGAGATGAGCAGGTTCAGAGTCAGAGCGCATACCGCCAGCGGCACCGCAAGGAAGGCGGGCGCCAAGGCCGGCCTGTGGGCGGAGAGCAAAGGCGGTGCATTTATCGGGAGGGTGGGCCAGGGGCGTGGCTGAGGTCTCGGGGCTCCAGGCCCAGGGAGGACCGCAGGGGCGGCTCCTCCAGCCACGGAGACAGCAGGGTGGGGCCGGCTGCCCGCAGCCACCGCCAGTTGGTCTCCACTAGCATCCATGTGTCCTGGGTGGGGGGTGATATTGTCATGTCCCCTTACGGTCCAGGATATGGAGGCTGGGGACCAGGAGTGACACAAGGCCACCAGCAAGGACGACGCTTGATGAGGAGGGCACCTTGGGTCCCAGCGCCGTTGACTTTCAGGGGGCTAGCTGGAAAGGTTGTCCCGAGACCACGGCCGCCAGACCAAAGGGTCTACAAGGCCGCTGCCCACCCCCCTCCGTGCTCCGGCCCCGCTTCTGCGGCAGCTTCGGAGGCCTTGGCGCCCAGCGGACCCCAGGCTGTGGTCCGAGCCTCAGTCGCCCCGGAGGCTCGGCTGGCGCCCCACAACCCCCAGCGCTGTCCGCGGTGCTGACGGGCCCGCCTGCTGCTCGCCAGCGTTCAGTACGCCTCCCCAACCCCCAGGGTCTCTCCCGACCCTGCACGCTGCCGGAGGCTGTGTTAGGATGGCAGCAGGACTGCCTGGGCCGAGTCCGCTGGGCGCCTGCTGGTCCGCACACCAGCAACTGGCGAGTCACTAAAGAACACGGTCAGAGAACAGGACGGGGGTCTCTGAGCCCCACGCCTGTCCCGGTTTCTGGAGGCGGCCGGGGCCTCCCACCCCAGCTGGGGTTGCACCAAGGACCGTCCACACTTCTTCCAGAACGCAGGTTTATTTGGCATTTGGATGAAATGGTTCTCACAGCATCTTAAGAATTAGTGCCAACCCAACCAAAAATAAACCCAAACTAGAAACCCTTAGTGAAAGGAAAACATGGACAGGCCTTGAGACAGTGGAGTGTGGACACCCACCTGCAACAGGCAGCCAGGAGCCCCCCCAGGCGCACAGGACTCTCAAGCAGGGCTGGCCAGGACTCGGCCGACCGCGGCCCACCCGCCTGACTGGCCTGGCACCCTTCGGTCCCCACACATCCTGTGCGCACGGGTCAGGCCTGGGCCAGGCCCCTCAGGGTGCCCACCCCAAAGCAAGAGTGCTCACGACCCTCACCCGCACCAGCTAGGCCTATGGTGACTGCTGAGCCCAGCACACAGCGGTGGCAGGACGCATCTTCTGCTCCCTCTTCAGCAGCTTGGGCCCTCCGTGGGGGGTGCAGGCCTGTGCAGCACACGGCCCCCGGCACAGTGTGGCCTCCAGCACTGGCTCCTGTGGGCCAAGCCCCGCTCTGTGGGCGACATGAGCATCTCATGCCACCCAGGAAGAAGAAAACAGTCCGAACAAAGACTGTGCCGGCACGGCCCGGCACCACCCTCTCTGTCACCCCCTCCTTGCTGCTGGCCTGCAGAGGCTGTGAGGGGCCCCAGGCGAGTCCCCGCGGCTGGCCGCTGCCTGCAAACACATGAACACAGACACACATGCACACAGAAAAGGAAAGATCCAGACACTCAACGTAGAAAAGATATGGATGTGCTAAAAATCGCACAAAACCCGCTTAATCTCCAAACCTCAGAAATGCTAAAAGCCCCGTGTCAGGAGACAAGCCCACTGCCCGGAAGCAGGCAGCAGGGACCCGCAGTCGAAGGCCCCGTGGGGCGGGGCGCCCAGCACCCTGCTGCTGGGGACAGGACGGCGGCATGCGGCCACCGGGCTCCGGTGATGGCGGTGGTGGGCAGGAGTCGGGCTTCCAGCTGACAGCCCAGGACGTGAGTTTCAGCCCCTCCCCCCAGGGACACGACCCTTTATGGCACACACAAGGTGGGGTGGGGGCAGGGCCAGCAGGAGCGAGGGCACCCAGGCTCCCGCCGCAGCGAGGCCCAGGGCGGGACACCCGGGCAGGCTGGAGGCCTCCGCCTGGCTCCAGGTCTGCGGGGGTGCCATGCCTGCTGCTGGGGGAGCCTCAGGGCGGGCACCTGGCTTCACGGAGCCCAGCGGGGAACACAGCACAGAGCTGGCAGCCCCACTCAGGGCCTCGGCAGAAGGGCCCCAGACCAGGCCCACCGTGTGACAACAGGAGCTGGGGGCACCCCCAGAGCAACCTCCAATGTGCCCGCCCAGGCCATCGACAGTCCTCAGATCAGGCGTGCCCACACCGGGGCAACAGTCAAGCCCAGCAGAGCCAGGGTGACCCTCCCCACGGCAACCCGCGGTGCCCCCTCTGTGAACCCTGCCAGCCCTCGATGTTGACAGAGACAGGAATCGGAAGTTGCACATGTCTGAGGCCTCAGGGTGCCTGGAGAGCGGATGGGATGCGCTGGGTGCTCCCTGGAGGCCGCATGTGCGCTCGGGCCTGGGCCCAGGCTGCCTCTGGTCCTCACGCTGCCTACGGACATCAGTGTCTTTCTCAGGGCGGACAGGTGCCCTGCCCGTCAGGGCCGTGGGCTGCCCTCTACACCACGGTGTTGAGGGAACCTCGGCTATGCCGGCCGCCCCCTGGCAGCGCTTCTGGGGCAGGGGCGCCCCCACCCGGGCAGGGCTCAGGTGGCACCAGGAGGGCGCTGCTGCTGTCGGCCGAGTCTTCCAGGTTTGCCAGAGGGGCCCTGGGGGTGCGCTCCGGGTGCCGGGGCACCGTGCCCTCCCCGCTGCCGTCCCCAGTGGCGGGAGGGGGTGCTTCCGCCGGCTCAAAGGCGTCGTCATCTGCGGGAGGGAGGAGACGGGTGTCAGCGGGGTGGGGCGGCTCCCAGCAGCCGCACTGTGTGGGGGCAAGCGTGGGTCCCGCTGTGAGCAGACCCCAGTGGGTATGCATGGGGGAAGGAACACGCTTTGACAGCAGAACAAAGGGGGTCCTCACTCACACGCACGAGGCACAGGCTGGGACACAGGGGCAGGAGAGGGTGACGGCCAGGGCAGGGGTCCCCAGAACAGCCTGCCTGAAGGGGGCAGGGCAGCCCCGACTCCCATATGTGCGCTGGACGCTGGGGCCGGGGGACCAAGGCTGAGGCCCCGTGCACACCCACTCCTGCTGTCCCGCCCTCGGAGGCGTCAGGGACCCACTGTCCCAGGGGCACCCCTCGCTCTTCCTCGTCCCAGCCAGCAGGCGGCGACCACCTCTCCCCAGGGCAGAAGTCAGGTCCGAGTTTCCTGCCTATGGCGGCCACACCCGAGGGAACGCTGACCTAACAGACCGGGTGATGGCAGCGCCGGCCTTGCAAAGCCCGCCTGCCACGTCGTGTCTGTGACCACACACGTGTGTGACACACGGGGACTGGGTAGGGACTCCTGTGTGCGTCCAGGCCAGGCTGTGGACGGGCACCCGGTGTCCCTCTGTGCCCCCTGAAGACTGGTCTTCCACAGCGTCAGACAGACCAGACTCACTCATTCACTCATCGGCTCTCTTCTCGCGGACAGGAGGGCCCACCGCGGGGCGTGGCGTCAGCTCGCCACACGTGCACCCCGCCCGGGACACCCTCCCCACAGGGCCCAGCTGAGGAGTCCCGGGAGGCAGGCAGGAACAGGGTGAGCCCGCCCACCCGGGCAGCGGGGCCACCTTAACGGGAAGAATGGGAACTATGCTGCAGGCTCCCATGCCCCGAGGATCACCTGCGGGGTCGTAGAACACACTGTCCGGGTTGATGGAGGCCTCGTAGGGTGGCGGCGGATCATCAGGCTGGTCAATGTCTGGGTACTTGTACGCAGTGTAGGGCGGAGGCGGATCATGGAAGTGGAAAGTCCCACCTTCCCCGTCGTCAGAAAGGTGCAGGGGTGTGAGGCCTGTGCCGAAGCCATCAGGGCCATAATCAAAGCCGGGGATCCTGCGGCCGAGGTTGAAGTGGTGCACTGGGCGGGGAGAGGGGTGTGGGGCTGTCACTCAGGCCGGACCCCCCAGGTACGGAGCCACGCACCCCAGCAGCCACATGCCCTTTCCGGCTGCCACCTGTCCCCGCGCCACAGTCCGCAAGAGCCTGGCTCCGGCGACCCCGGCCTGACGCCCACCCCGCAGCTCCACCCCCAGGAGGGTCGCGGAGAGCCTTGCTGCCCACGTGAGGTGAGTCCTTCACACCCGAGGCCCCACGTCCTGGACCCGCAGCCCGGCTGCTCGCTCACCTGGTGAGAAGGGATCTCGGAAGCTACGTGGCACGGGAGGACGGGCAACCACTTGCGCCAAGGGTGGGCCACACCCCGAAGCGGCCACCGCCACGCGCACCCGGGTCTCCAGGAGGGGCGGCCCAACAGCTGCCCACACGGCCCAGGGGCCGGCGCCCCGCCCACCACAGGGACGCCGAGGGCGGGGGCGGGCAGCGCCACCTCCCTCCTCCCACAGGGGCCACGGCTGGCCAGGACACTCACGGTTCGCCCCAATCAGGGACTCGATGCGCTCTCGGCGCCTCTGGCGCAGCCGGTGGACCATGAAGAGCAGCAGAGAGAGGATGAGGAAGGACGACACGCAGCTGACGATGAGGCGCATCCCGCTGGCCATTGAGTCCAGCAGGCTGCCGCCGTCTGCGGGCGGGAGGGCAGCGCTCAGGGGTTCCGCGCCCCCGACCCCCCAATGCCGTGGGACTGCAGCCTGGCCTCAGCTCTGCCCCACCTGTCCATTATCACCAGGCTGAGCAGGACCTTGCTGGCCACAGGGCCCAGCAGGGAGCAGCATCCTGGGCGGGGAGCTGAGGTCAGTCGTCCAAGTTTAGGCCTGGCCACAGAGCTCTGCCTGCCCCGCACCACAGTGCTCACAGAGGCTGGGCTCATCGGGAGCCCCCAGGTGATCAGAGGGTCTGGGTGTGCCCCCAGGACCCCAGAGTCCCGGTTCCCAGCCCCCACCTCCCCTTGCCCTTGCCAGTGGCTCTTCTGATTCCTTACTTCCTCGTGCCCACCCACCTGCTGGCCCTCTCTGGGGGTGGGGAGCCAGGGCCTCCGCAGAGGCTCCACTGCGCACCGGGGGTCCCCCAGGAGGGAGAGGTGGCCAGCCAGAAAGGACGTCCTCCCCTCGGGGCCCCTGCCTTCATTTCTCCCCTGGGTCATGGTCTGACCAGACCAAGTCTGGCAGGGCCTGCTCTGGGGGGAGGGCCCAGGGCCCCCAGCAGCTCCCTGGGGCTGGAGCCAGCCCTACACCTGCACCGGACGCCTCAGGGCAGGGGCTCTGGTGGGCTCCAACCCACCCCGCCAGCCGGGCATCCTGAAGTCCTCCACCCTGGGAGGTGCTGCTGCTCTGCTATGGGCCGGTGTCTCCGCACCCCGGGGGACCGTGGCAGCATCTGGTGACACCTCTGGTGGGTGTGGCGGGGACGCGGTTCAGCACTCTGGCGGCACCAGCCCAGGGCCTGGCCACCTTGCCAGATGCATACCAGGCCTGCTGGGCGTGGTGGGGGCAGAGGGCAGGGTCGGCAGCCCCGGGCTCTCACCCATGCAGCGGTCATGGGCATCACGTCGCAGCATCAGAACGCCTGCCCCTGGACCCAGCGTGGAGACCAGGGGGCTTCCCAGGGCAGGGGTGGCCTGAGTGTGGAGCCTCCAGGTCCCCTCTTGACCCCCTGCCTCTGCCGCATGGGCAGGCACCCAACCACAGCCTAAGGACACGCTTCACAGCCAGGCTCACACGGGCTCCCCCTGCAGGCTGTGTGTCCTGCTGAGACGCTGGGGAGCAGTGTGTGAAAGGGCACAGCCCCTTCAGATCCCGCCCGTCGGGGGGGCGGGGCGGCCGGGGCATCTGCCGACCTGTGGTGAGCTCAGAGGTCCCAGCATGAGGCGCGCTCTCTGCAATAACGAATTCCTACCCAGCCAGAGGGAGACCCCAGGACACGGTCAAGGTCCCTGATGGCTGTCCCCGGTGCTCGGCGGCAGGAGGAACCAGCAGGCAGATGCAGAGGAGAGCAGTGTCCTCGGGGACAGAGGCCGCCCAGGCCCTGCGGGCGCTTGGGCCCTGCTCAGGGGGGCTGCCCACTGTTGTCCAGGCACAGGCGGTGGGCATCGGGGCCCAGTCTCTGAGGCGGCTCTGGGACAGGCCAGTGCACAGACACGCTCCTCAGCTCCTGGCCCACACCCTCGAGGCAGGAGGCAGCCTGATCTTCCTCTGGGTGGCCTACTTGCATATTTTTCAGTTGAGTCTTTCCATACTCTGCACAAGAGCTCTGGGGTCTCATCTGTCTTTCTCTGTTGGTGCTTTATCTCTTCATTTCCTCAAGGGTCTTCCACGAACAGAAGTTTCTGATTTTGATGAAGTGTGATCTATTAATGTTTTCTTTTAATCTAAAAAATGCTGTGTATCCCAAGGTCACAAAGATTTTTCTTGTTTTTTCTTTTAAAAGACTTAATTTTAAAAGAACGTATGCTGGGGAGGCATCAACTGTGAGACTGGGACTGACATACAGACATCACTACGCATTATCATAAAGCAGATAGGAAGAACCTACTGGACAGCACAGGGAACGCCTCTCAGCACTCTATAATGACCCACAGGGGAAAAGAACCTTAAAAAAAGTGGCTGTGTGTGCAACTCATCCACTCTGCTGGACACCTCAAACGAAAACACGGCAAACCAACTAAACCTCGGTCAATATTTAAAACTTAAAAATAAAAGAACGTGCGCGTGCTTCTGGAAGTTTTATGAAGGTTTAGACGGGTGTGTGAACATTTTGGCATCGATTCAAAACACAGCAGGGAGTGTAGTATAAGGTTCATTTGTTGATTTTTGTCTGGCTTCGGGATTTCCAATTGTTCCAGGAGCATTTGTTCCAAGTCCAACCTTTATTCACTGAATTGCTTTTGTACTTCTGTTAAGTATCAGTTGACTCCTACATGTGGACTATTTCTAGACTCTCTTCTGTTCCACCGATCTACATGTCAGCTGCTGAAATCACCGTTTGATTTCTACGACTACAGAGTAAGTTTTAAACCAGGTACTGTGAACCCTCTAACTTTCTTCTTTTCAAAAACTGGTTTGGCTATTCTACTTCCTTTGCCATTCCACATAAATTTTAGAATCAGCTTGTCAACATCTACAAAAAACTCTGCTGGAATTCTGGTTGAGACTGTGCAGAATCCATAGGTAATCTGAGGGAGAATTCACCTCCTACTGATAACTGTCTTCTGATCCATGAACATGGTATACTCATGCCTTTCTTTCATCGGTATCTTACACTCGTAGCATACAGATGGTGTGCCTACTCTACGAGACGTACACCTCAGAGTAAATGTAAGGAGGCGGAAGGACAGGTCACCACATAACCACCCACCCCTGACATCCACCTGGGGGCACCACCAAGCCGGGAGCTCTGTGTCAGGACTGTGGACAGTGCCTCATCTTTTTCTTAAGCTCCTCCCAGCATCAAACACAGACACAGAAGTGCTCCAGGGGAGGCAGAGGTGTAAGCCGGCTCCGGGTGGAGAGGAGCCTGGCCCCGGGCGCGGGCCTCACCTGGGTCCAGGCACATGAACTTGCAGCACTCCTTGGGGTCCTTGCGGTACTGCTGGCAACCTTGCGGCCGCTCGCACAGAGCGGCCACGCACATCTCGGGCTCCCCGCCGTGGCAGGTGCAGCTCAGGCACGGGTCGTCCCCTTTGGGGGTGAAGTAGAAGCCTTCGTCCACCACGTTGTCCTTGATGTCCACACACGTCTGACCTGCGACAGGCACAAGAGACTTGCACGTCAGCCGCCCGGGAGAGCCCTGGCACTACAGGCTAGGGGCGCTGGGGCTGCGGAGAGCAGGCGAGGTGAGGAGGGAGTCGGGGCTCTGGACACACCAGGCGTGGCGGGGCCTCCATCTACCCTGGGAAGGAGCGAGGGGTCACAGGGGACACCACTGCCCAGGCCCCAGGGGCCTCCAGGTCAGAGGCGCCCAGAGAGTCAGGAGTGCTGAGGGGTCCCTGAGGCCCCCCGGGGGTGGATGTACTGAGACCCCCGGGGGTGAGGCAGGTGCACTGAGAGACCCCAGGGGGGCGGGTGTACTGAGAGGCCCTCTGGGGGCGGGGGCGGGGGCGGGTGGACTGAGGCCCCCTGGGGGTGCGGGCGGGTGGACTGAGAGGCCCTCCGGGGGCGGGGGCGGGTGGACTGAGAGGCCCCCCAGGGGGCGGGCCCCGCTCACTCCTCTTGCACAGGAACGAGGACTTGTCCTGGCAGCTCTCGGTGCGCCAGCTGTGCAGGTCGTGGTGGCGCAGCGTGGGGAAGTGGAAGCACTGCAGCTGCGCACAGAACACGCTGTCGCCCTCCGCCGTGGCCGCCGCCAAGACGGGGTCCGGGGGCAGCAGCACCTCCGAGGAGCCTGCGGGGCGGACGGACGGACAGACGGCATCACAGGGACCGCCCGCCTCCGTTCCTCTGTGCGCAGCTCTGCATGGGCCCCGGGGGGCGGGGGCAGGGACACGCTTCGGGGGTCGGCAGCGCCCATGGGACGGGTGAGGATGCCCCTTCCTCCCCGGGGGACACGCCGGCACTCTGCGGGTGAGGGGCTCACCCCAGCAGCTGGGAGGGGCGGGGCCCCGGGGGCTCTGCTGTGTCAGCCACGGCGCCCACACTCCGGGCTGCCTGTCAGGAGAGCTCGGGCAGCTAGGCTCAGCGCGTCTGCGCAAAGGCCAGGGAGCCTCACCTTTGGACGCCACCTCCCAGTGTCCGGAGCGGTTCCGGCCAGTGACGACGTATTGGTAGCCGACCCACAGCCTGCAGGAAGGCAGATTGCAGGAGGCGCCTGCTCTGAGTGTGTACCTTTAATACTTTCGCTGACGTTTACAATGTGAGCCTCAAAAGCATGAATGGTCTTTTCAAAGGCTGATACTTAGTTTTAATAAAATGTATTAAAATTCTATACAAATTCACCTATCAGAGGAAGTTTTCATCTTGGGTGACTCCTGCCAAGACTGCTCTTATCAGCGAATCTTACCAGACAGATCCCATCTAAGCAAAACCATCCTAGGGCCCGCGATGTGGGCCCTATGGACCCCCAGCCCCAGGGCAGCATGCCACCAGGCCCCACCTGGCTGGCACTCAGGGGCGCCCGCCCGGCCCTGGGGACGCCCGCGGGCCCTGCAGCCCCACTTGCGTGCACCCACCTGAGGGCACGGCCTGCCCTCCCCCTTCTGTAAGCACTCACCACCACCCCGTGAGCTATGGGCTTCTAAGATCACCCGACAGACACCTGGACCCCGACCAGGCACTGTGCCAGCCCCTGCCCTCATGGGCTCTGGCCACACTGTGGTCCACGCCCCGTGGGAGGGTGCCCCGGGGCCCACCCCGGCAGTGTGGATGGGTCCGCAGCTCCCACCGGCCCCAGAACAAAGCCCCGAGCTGGGCTGGGGAGAGGCTGGTTGTTGAATGGTGTCCACACATTCTCTCCGACACTGCAGAGCCTGCAGGCGTAGAGCCAGGCTCAGAGCAGCACATGTCCTGGTCACCCCAGGGTCCCCGTGGTGTTTCGGGAAGGGACAAGCAGGCCCATGGGGGCACTGGGCACAGGCCTGGCCCAACCCAGGTTCTCAGAAGGACCCCATCCACCAGCACGGCCTGCGAGCCAGGCCCATGGAGTCCCACATGGAGCAGTCCGTCATGACTTGGGCCCAGACCTCCTGCAGCTGCAGCAGAAGCATCAAGCCACCGCAGGCGCCATCCCTGCCCTCTGAGAGCCGCTGCCGCGAGCCCCCACCCTGACGCCCTCCATGCGCCCCACGTGCCCTGCGGCCCGGGCCCGCCCGGCTCACTTGTGCTGGTCCTGCCAGGCGAAGCTCCGCTCCGGCTGCTCCCACTCCTGGGCCAGCACGAAGCGCAGCTCCTGGTCGGTGGAGAAGGTGGCCAGGGAGCCGTTCACGCGCTGGCAGGTCTGCGCCGCGTCCCAGTAGCTCTCGCCGCTCAGGTAGACACGGTAGCAGCTGGCTGTGCCCTCATAATGGTGCCACCCCGCGGGACACTTCCCTAGGAAACATGCAGGAAGGGCAGGCGGCCTCAGTCAGGACCCGCCAGTCCACCACACAGCGGCGGCCACGCTCGGGGGCCTGGGGGGGCACTGAGGGGGGGACACTGAGGCTGTGGGGACACTGAGGCAGGGGGGACACTGAGGGGGGGCACTGAGGGGGGACACTGAGGCTGTGGGGACACTGAGGGGGGACACTGAGGGGGGACACTGAGGCTGTGGGGACACTGAGGGGGGACACTGAGGGGGGACACTGAGGCTGTGGGGACACTGAGGGGGGACACTGAGGCAGGGGGGACACTGAGGCTGTGGGGACACTGAGGGGGGGACACTGAGGGGGGACACTGAGGGGACACTGAGGGGGACACTAAGTCTGTGGGGACACTGAGGGGGGGACACTGAGGGGGGACACTGAGGGGACACTGAGGGGGACACTAAGTCTGTGGGGACACTGAGGGGGGACAGAGTGGGGCACTGAGTGCGGACACTGAGGCTGTGGGGGGACACTGAGGCTGGGGGTGCAGGCTTGCTGATGGGGGGCTGGGGCGGTCAGGATGGGCTGCTGCGCCCACTGGGTAAAGCGGCAGACAGGATGGCGGGCCCCCGGGCAGGCGGCGGAGCGCCCCACCCAGGCCCACGCCCATCTGCTCCCAGCTGCTCAGGCGGTCAGCTGTGTGGCCGCCCTTCAGTCTTCCTGCACTCTTCTGAGCTGAGGCTGTAGGAAGGTCACTAAGTAACTAGTTACTAACAATTTTTTTAAGCTGAGGCAGGGCGGCCTCCTCCACGGACCAAAAGGCGATCCACCTGGGCCCCAAGTGGCAAGCACTGCGTGGGGAAAAGCTCCAGGGCCTGGTGCTGGTCTTGGCTTTCCCACCTGGCCAGGAGGCCCTGGGTAAGTCACCCTGCTGCCCCAGCTGCCGGAGGAGGCCTGAAGGGGTTTTGGGGTGCCCGTGGGGTGCGCCCCGGGTCAGCGCCAGGGCAGGCCTGCAACTTACTGCCGAACCGCACGGGCTGCGCCACGCTCATGGCGTGCAGGTGCGAGGGGTCTCCGCCGCGCGCCCGGCCTGGCCTGGGGTCCGCAGCCTCCTTCCCATGGTGGGGACGTGCCTGCCCGCTCACTTCTGAAAACAGAGAGCACTGGCTGCAAACACATCGGAAGGCAAGGCGCCAGACGGAACCGCCGGCAGGCAGACGGCTGCGCCGCTCAGCGATCCCGTCTATTCAGGCTTCCTCAGAACCCTTCAAACGTGCAGTTCACGCCTCACGGGTCACACACACGTCTAACTGAGTGCGCCCAGGAAGTCTTCATTCTTCACGAAATGGGGCCTCCCCGCTGTGCTTCCTAACAGGCCCCTGCGGGCCCAGCGCCGTCAGCCTTCCTGCTGAACCCCCACAGCTCCAGCCCAGGGGCTCCCTGTGGAGCCCAGGCAGGGACCCCACTCTGCCCGCCTGCCCCTCCCTCACCCTCAAGGCCAGGCCCCGGGCACCCGCGCAACAGGCCCGCAGCACGGCCCAAGCGTGAACACAAGGTGCAGGGGGAGGCAGACGCCAGCTGTGTGTGTGTGGTCCAAGGGTGACTTGCAGGCTCGAGTGAGGAGGCCCAGGGGAGTGAGATTCGCCTGGGGCAGCAGCAGGCCCGCTGGAGGCCACGTCCCCATGGCTCTGCGCCCCACCCGCGGGCCCCGCAGAGGACACGGCTGCAAGGTCAGCACAGCGGCCACCGCGGTCTGCAGACACACCACGCTGCGGACACCTGCACACACAGACACACACAGATACACACACACACACACACACACGCTGTGGGCTTGTGCAGGGGTGAGTCCAGTGGGCAGGACAAGGGGGTGGTGGGAGGTGCCGTAAACCTGTCTGATTGTGGCAGCAAGACCCTAATTCTCCAAGCAGCAGCGGAGTTTGCAGTGCAAAGCGCGGGAGTCCTGACCACTGGACCCCCAAGGCATTCCCCGATGTTGTTTTTACTTAATCACCTTTACTTTTTCTCAGTATAAAATAACACACATCCAATATAAAATACTTCAGAATCACAAAAGTCTGAAAAGGGGAAAACAGACCGACTGTTACTATTCTAGAGGTGGCTGCCCTTCCAGCCTCCCTTTTGTATACAGATCCTTAAAAGTATTGGGATCGTGTCAAACACAAGTTCATGGTTTGCGGTGTGAGCTTAACACTACAATAGCTTTGAACATTTTACATGCGGGAAGGTCACTTTTGCCGGCCATGCAGGCCCCATGAGGGGCTCTCTAATGTGACAGCTGTGGGGCTCCCCTCGGCCCCCGGCTGGTGGAGCGGCCGTGTCTGCACCCGAGGCCCCGGAGCTCTGTGCCGCCTGCACCAACGGCTGGGCAGAGCTTCCTCGGAGTTCCCACAGCCCGTCTCAGAAACAGAGGGATCAGCTTGCCGAGCACCCCCACCCATCAACTGTGCCCCCAGGCCTGAGAGAGGCTCTAGTGCTCTCTTTCCCACCCGGGGAGGGGGCTCCCTCCATGTCGGGGGCCCCAGGCACACACCTGGGCACCACTGCTCTCCTTCCAGGGGAGGCTGCAGCCAGCGGCTCTGATGCAGGGCGAGCGTGCAGAGCCGGGGCCCAGGGTGGCCGGCAGGGGGGCTGGCAGGTCCCTGCAGGGCTCAGGGGTTCGCAGGGCACAGCGTGGGCACGCCTGGGACATGCCTGGGGGCCGGCTCAGGCGTGGGGAGGCTCGCCCCAAGTGGCTGCACTGCACACTCCCTCCTGGCCACTCCAACGAGCAAGACCTGTGCTTCCACTGGGTTCCACCACGCAGAGCCCTGGGCACTCGGTCAGGACCAGTCAGACTGCTCAGAGAAGGAATCTAGGGCACAGGGGAGGGGGAGGCCCAGCCCTGCTGGGGGCGCCGGGCGCCAGGTGGCCAGGAGGCAGCCTATGGGGAAGCCATCTGCAGCCTGCGGAGGGTGGGGCAGGCAACCCAGAGCGCGGAGCATCTGCACCGTTCCTCTGCACATCCGCACACCTGCGTCTGCCTTCCCGGCTCCCCGCTCAGCACCCCCCACCCAGCACACACGGCCTGAGTGTCCCGGGAGCCGGGGGCCCTGAGCCCTGAGCGAGGACCTCAGCCTCACTCCTGAGCTGGGGCCGGGGCTGCAGCCGCTCCAAGCCTGGAATCCAGCCCGAGCACGGCCCTGACGGCTCCGAAAGGGCGCTCCTCTCGAGACAGCCACCCAGGGCGGTGGTGGAGCCCACGGGGCACTCAGCTGTCGGAAGCGGAGAGGACTTGTGGATAAAAGACAGAATGTGAGCCCACTTTGTGTCCAGATGCGCCTGTGCGGGCTGCGGGCACCCTGCCTTGTCTCACACCAAACAGGTCAAGAACCGCGGTCCAAAATCCAATGCCTCCTTTAGCCAGCGCAGGCTTTCTAAAGCTGGAGAGCCCACAGGCACACGGTTACCAAAGGGCTTTCTGTTATGCTGCCCGTGTTCCTTCAACTGATTCTCTCTGCCCTCAGGGGGGCCAGGGACTGCACTCGGGGGGGGGGGGGCGGGTATCAAGGTCTGGGGGAGCCCAGGGAGGTACGGAGCCTGAGCTCACGGGGAGCACTGCGGGAGGAGGGGGAGGTACGGAGCCTGAGCGCACGGGGAGCACTGAGTGAGGAGGGGGAGGTACGGAGCCTGAGCACACGGGGAGCACTGCGGGAGGAGGGGGAGGTACGGAGCCTGAGCTCACGGGGAGCACTGAGTGAGGAGGGGGAGGTACGCAGCCTGAGCGCACGGGGAGCACTGCGGGAGGGGGGGAGGTACGGAGCCTGAGCGCACGGGGAGCACTGCGGGAGGAGGGGGAGGTACGGAGCCTGAGCGCACAGGGAGCACTGCGGGAGGGGGGGAGGTACGGAGCCTGAGCGCACGGGGAGCACTGCGGGAGGAGGGGGAGGTACGGAGCCTGAGCGCACGGGGAGCACTGAGTGAGGAGGGGGAGGTACGGAGCCTGAGCACACGGGGAGCACTGAGTGAGGAGGGGGAGGTACGGAGCCTGAGCTCACGGGGAGCACTGAGTGAGGAGGGGGAGGTACGCAGCCTGAGCACACGGGGAGCACTGCGGGAGGAGGGGGAGGTACGGAGCCTGAGCACACGGGGAGCACTGCGGGAGGAGGGGGAGGTACGGAGCCTGAGCGCACGGGGAGCACTGAGTGAGGAGGGGGAGGTACGGAGCCTGAGCACACGGGGAGCACTGCGGGAGGAGGGGGAGGTACGCAGCCTGAGCGCACGGGGAGCACTGCGGGAGGAGGGGGAGGTACGGAGCCTGAGCGCACGGGGAGCACTGCGGGAGGAGGGGGAGGTACGGAGCCTGAGCACACGGGGAGCACTGCGGGAGGAGGGGGAGGTACAGAGCCTGAGCGCACGGGGAGCACTGAGTGAGGAGGGGGAGGTACGGAGCCTGAGCACACGGGGAGCACTGAGTGAGGAGGGGGAGGTACGGAGCCTGAGCGCACGGGGAGCACTGCGGGAGGAGGGGGAGGTACGCAGCCTGAGCGCACGGGGAGCACTGCGGGAGGAGGGGGAGGTACGGAGCCTGAGCGCACGGGGAGCACTGCGGGAGGAGGGGGAGGTACGGAGCCTGAGCGCACGGGGAGCACTGCGGGAGGAGGGGGAGGTACAGAGCCTGAGCGCACGGGGAGCACTGCGGGAGGAGGGGGAGGTACGGAGCCTGAGCGCACAGGGAGCACTGCGGGAGGGGGGGAGGTACGGAGCCTGAGCACACGGGGAGCACTGCGGGAGGAGGGGGAGGTACGGAGCCTGAGCGCACGGGGAGCACTGAGTGAGGAGGGGGAGGTACGGAGCCTGAGCGCACGGGGAGCACTGCGGGAGGAGGGGGAGGTACGCAGCCTGAGCTCACGGGGAGCACTGCGGGAGGAGGGGGAGGTACGGAGCCTGAGCACACGGGGAGCACTGCGGGAGGAGGGGGAGGTACGGAGCCTGAGCGCACGGGGAGCACTGCGGGAGGAGGGGGAGGTACGCAGCCTGAGCGCACGGGGAGCACTGCGGGAGGAGGGGGAGGTACAGAGCCTGAGCGCACGGGGAGCACTGAGTGAGGAGGGGGAGGTACGCAGCCTGAGCGCACGGGGAGCACTGCGGGAGGAGGGGGAGGTACGGAGCCTGAGCGCACGGGGAGCACTGCGGGAGGAGGGGGAGGTACGGAGCCTGAGCGCACGGGGAGCACTGAGTGAGGGGGGGAGGTACGGAGCCTGAGCTCACGGGGAGCACTGAGTGAGGAGGGGGAGGTACGGAGCCTGAGCGCACGGGGAGCACTGCGGGAGGAGGGGGAGGTACGGAGCCTGAGCACACGGGGAGCACTGAGTGAGGAGGGGGAGGTACGGAGCCTGAGCGCACGGGGAGCACTGCGGGAGGAGGGGGAGGTACGGAGCCTGAGCTCACGGGGAGCACTGCGGGAGGGGGGGAGGTACGGAGCCTGAGCTCACGGGGAGCACTGAGTGAGGAGGGGGAGGTACGGAGCCTGAGCGCACGGGGAGCACTGCGGGAGGAGGGGGAGGTACGGAGCCTGAGCACACGGGGAGCACTGAGTGAGGAGGGGGAGGTACGGAGCCTGAGCACACGGGGAGCACTGAGTGAGGAGGGGGAGGTACGGAGCCTGAGCACACGGGGAGCACTGCGGGAGGAGGGGGAGGTACGGAGCCTGAGCACACGGGGAGCACTGAGTGAGGAGGGGGAGGTACGGAGCCTGAGCGCACGGGGAGCACTGAGTGAGGAGGGGGAGGTACGGAGCCTGAGCACACGGGGAGCACTGCGGGAGGAGGGGGAGGTACGGAGCCTGAGCGCACGGGGAGCACTGAGTGAGGAGGGGGAGGTACGGAGCCTGAGCGCACGGGGAGCACTGCGGGAGGAGGGGGAGGTACGGAGCCTGAGCGCACGGGGAGCACTGCGGGAGGAGGGGGAGGTACGGAGCCTGAGCACACGGGGAGCACTGAGTGAGGAGGGGGAGGTACAGAGCCTGAGCGCACGGGGAGCACTGCGGGAGGAGGGGGAGGTACGCAGCCTGAGCGCACGGGGAGCACTGCGGGAGGAGGGGGAGGTACGGAGCCTGAGCTCACGGGGAGCACTGCGGGAGGAGGG